TGCGGCCTGGCTCGGGGGAGCGGGCGTGGGCGCTGGCCAGACCTTGCCACTTGCGCGCACCGCCAGGATGTGCCCAGATGGGTCTTGAGTGTGAGGCCGGGGTGGAGGCCCCCTTGTGCTCTTCCGTGGCGGGGGTGAGGATCCGCAGTGTGCACGAGAGCTGTTCCTGCCCCTGCGAGGCCTGGACCCGATGACAGTGCCTCCCGCTTGGGAGCTGGTCCTGGAATAGCAGAGCCGTGAACGGAGCACGTTTAATGCTAAACTGGGGCATCAGGGGAGCCAGGATGGGGGCGGGGAGGGCCCACGTGTGTCGCCTTGGCTCCGTGGCAGTGACCCCCCCAAAGCAACCCCAGGGCGAACAGACTCATCCACCCTGGCTGAGACTTGGCTCCGGGACAGAGAAGCCAGCCGTTACCAGCAGTTTCTCCAGAGTTGTGCCGTGTTGGCAGAACTGCTGCAGGAGTTGGTCTCTGCTCCCTGGGGAGCCTAGGAGCGCCGCCCCTGCAGCCCCCCGCTCCGCTGCTGACAGCGTCAAAGCCCAGAAAGCCTCCCAGGGAGGCTCGTCCACGCCTGGGGCTGTGGCCCTGATTCTGACCCGTTTCAAGACTATTGACAGGCAGAGGGTCACCCTGACACTGCCTCATTCCTCATTTCTACCGTGCAGTGCGACTAGAGGGAGCTCGTTTTCTTTTAGAGCAGGAAGAGTAGATGCTCTTTGCCTTTTTTTTTTTTTTTAAATATATATATATACATGGAGCTTTATCGTTTTGAACTTGATCCAGGGTGCTCTCTCCTATAACCAAACTGAACATCTGTCTGTGTCCTCCTCCTTCCGCCCCTCTCTCCTTTCATCCTGTGTGACATCTCTCCCACTTTTCAGGACCCAGTGAGGACACCTTTCCTTTAAAAGCCATTCCTGCTTGGTTTCCCCACTAGGCGTGCCGGTGGGTACCTTGTCTCCGCGTTGCCTTGCGTGGAGGTGCGGGTGCCCTTGCCACGCCTGAGCAACACCTCCTACGTAATGCGATTGTGATAAATATTGGTTGAAATCGGTAAGAAAGTTGAGATTGCCATGCTTGACAGAGCTGCAGCGAGGTTTGCTGTACATGGAAGCAAAAGCCTGGAGCTTCCGTTGCATTTCTTCAGTTCCGATGTGGCTCTCTGAGAGCATTTCCTGCTGTGTGGTGTGCAGATCTTCCCCTGCAGGGCTGGGCAGATGTGGAAGAAAGGAAACGTTTTATTTCCAACTAGTGTACTGTGTAAATGAAGGGCATTTTAACCTGCGCTGCCTTGGGTGCTTTGTGTGTCTAGCCTACTTCTCCAGGAGCTTTCCTACTGCGTGGTTTCCTCTCTTTCAATAAACTACTTCGTAGCACAGAAGTTTTATGCCTTGTCAGCATAACTAGGGGGGATGGTAGCAGTTCTCTAGGTGAAGAGAGAAGTGAAGGGGAGATTGCAATCTGGTTATCCTCAGTGGGTGCACCTGGCCGAGCAGGAGAGCAGTGGGCCTGAGGTGCGCGTTGCCTGGGGCTCCTGGACCCTGGAGTGGAGGTGATGATGTCTCTGCTGCATACTCCACAAGTGCTTATTCCATTGGGAACAGACTTCGGAAGTCTGAGATAATAATCTACAATAAGAGACACTGGCATCGCCTAGTGGTTAAGGGAACTGGATCCCATATAGTTCAAACTCTGGCCCCAGAGGCTTGATAGACACCTCAGCCACCTGTGCAAACATGCCCACCCTCCTGACGGGATGAAGAGATGGAGGAGATGGGACTGGGCACGGCCATGCCCCATGGACTATGCTTTCTTCTCTTTCTGTTTCTCTCTCAATTTTTTTTTTTAATTGAGACTGGCTGGATAGGATTTTACTTCTTTTAAACTTGTTCCTTCTCAAATTCCCTTTCTTTTACAATCTCGTTAAATCAACCTTGGTGTTACGGAATAATCAGGAGAAGTGTCAAGGGTGAATTACCACGATCCCGGAGGAAAGAACGCTGGTCTGGATTCCTCCTCAGCAAGCCTTTAAAGAACTGTAGTGAACACCGGGAGCAGGGGCTGCTTAGCCAGGACCCTGCGTGGTAGGTGGCGGCCAGTAAAACCCTGCTTGCTTTAGATGGAGAGACAAATCCATGGTGCTTTGGAGGGTGCATCGTTGAGCTTCCCGGCCTGCGCGCTCTGCGTTCGTGTTTCCTGTTATACAGCACAAACAGACCTTTCCCGTGGTCTAAGAACTCAGCGGGCGAGAGCAGAGAGCTCAGCATCTCCCCTGGAGGGGCAGGGGATCCATGCAGACAAGGTCGAGGTGGGCAGCTGGAAGAGGGGAGGTTAATAGCAGGGGAGAAGTGCTTGCTGGACTGTAAGCATACGGTGGTCTTCGTTTTCCTGGCTGGTGATAGAGGAGACTGTAAGGTAGGGTGCTCAGCCTCAGCACAGCTGGCGTTTGGGCCCATATAACTGGGGGCTGTCCAGTGTGTTGCAGATGTTCAGCATTCCTGGCCTCTATTCACTAGATGCCATTAGCACCCCACCCCCACCTCGTGTGACAACCGGAAGTATCTCTAGATATTGCCACTGTCCATTAGCAGCCAAAATCACTCCCCGCCGAGAAGCACTAGCCTGGGATTATCAGTAAGTCAATAAATCTCGAAGCTGTAGTATCACAGTGAGATGGGCCTTGAATATGGAATCAGACTGGGCTGAAGACCTCATTTACTACTTGTACATTCTTTTTTTTTAAGAGTTATTTACTTTGTTTTATTTGCTATTACTGTTATTCTTTTTCATTTACTATAGGGCACATGCACTTTCCAAAGAGAGAGAAAGTGAGAAAGCAAGTCGCCAGGTCTGGGACTCGAACTGTGGTTGGCCATATGGGAGTTCAGCACCTTAACCACCACATCACCTGCTGGCTCTACTACTTGTAAATTCTTGAACTTGTGACTCTACTTCTGAGCCTTGATAAAATTGTATGAGGACAAGTAAGAGTCATACCTTCCTTTTCACCCTAGATCCAAATAAGAAAGAACTTCCTTCTCCGGGGCTGGGAGGAGTGCTGGGGTTTCCGAGGACAGCCCTGGAGGAGTTAGGAGGCAGCTCCCCGGGTCTGGTGAGATGCTGAGGGAGGCAGGGAGGTGAGAAAAGTGGGGAGGTCCTGAAGAGGGGTAGAGGTAGGATTTCAGCTGTGCAGGCAGGTGACTAGATTCGGGTCCCTCCCTGAGTTTCTTTAGTATGCGGGAGAAAGAGTATGGACGAGGGCTAGGGCGAGTTTTTCTTCATCTAAGAAGTGGCTGAAAAGATGTTTTTACTTTAGGAGCAGAATCATAGTTATTCAGCCTGGAGGGCCCTCCAGGTGGCACCTGGCCTTGACTGCTGAGGCCCGGTTGGGGACTTGCTCCAGTGTCCCATCTCGGGTCCTGTCGGTGAGCAAGGAGCCGGTGCTCTGTGTGCCTTCACCTCTTCCCCGAGAGGTTGCTCGCCTGTCCCATTGGTCCAGGTATTTGCCTTCAGGCTGCAGAGCCTTTTGGTATGTGAGACAAAGGTCTAGAGGTGAGTGGGGCTGTCAAAGGCATCTGCACAAAGAGTGCACGGAGGGTGCTGTGGGTGCCTGTCCTCTTCTGCAGGCCCCACAAGGGCAAGTAGGGAGGGCAAGTCTTGGTAGCTCTGGGCTGGCGCGGGGGTGCGTGCCAGGGATTCGTCAAGGAACGCCCGTGCGATGGCATTCTAGCCAATGAGATCAGGCGATTTCCGCTAGGATGTCCTGGGGACTCAGACACGGAGATGCTTGAGAGACCAGTCTGTTCTGGACTTCACTAGGTCTGCCCATGGCAGCCAGCTCGTGACCATGAGGACAGGGCTCACGCTGAGGATGACGGGAGGAAGGTGGAAGGGTGTGGCTCTGAACAGGAGACTC